AGTAGAAAATGTTGTTAAAGATTCACACAAGGATAACCAAAACGATTTGATCTGTGAGGAGGAGTAACTACAAGAATCTGATCCTTAACTGGTATTTTTTTTACAAGATTATGTGACTCCCAAACAAGCAACATCTAAGTTGCTTGCTAATAGGTACCGAAAAATGCAAACAAGAAAAAGCAGAAACTAAACTTGAGGTTTCATACTTTTATCATATATAAGCGTATTCCAAGTTGTGAAAAACAAAATCTTCAGGGGTGAAGAGGAGAGCTGGTGGTGACATTTATAAAAAAGCTTCGAGCAGTTCAATTGTGGACTTCGAGCAGCTTCACAGCCAATTCAATGTAAAAAAAGCTTTCATCCTTTTTTTTATCTTCTCTTAAAAGATTTTTTTTTTTTTTTGCTTATATATCCAAGTCTTATTCAGGATCCAGATCAGTTAAGGGTAGTCACGGAGTCTGTTTTGGTAACTATGGTGTTGCAGTGTAGCAACCATGCACCTAGAGCTGATTATCTTCTCTTCGCCTTGCGTACATTATTTAGAGTTAGTTACATTAACTGGGATACCTTTTTACCATCCCTTCTCTCTTCAGTCTCCGCTGCTGAGGCCTCACTAAACCAAGCAGGTTCTTCTGCTACTTCTTCACAGTCTTTAGTCCCTGTACCTTCAGGTAATGAACAAGGTTCTGTCATTGTAAGAGATAATGCTATGAGGAATAGTCAGCGTGTAAGAGCTGCAGCTATAAACAGTCTGCGTCAGATCAGTTGCAAAATTATTTTGATTGGCATTGAGTTTAATCTCAAACCTTTCACTCATGCTGAGATATTCCAGTACATGATGAGTTGGCTTGTGAACTGGGACATGAGAGAGATGGGAACTGAGAAGAGTTTAGCTGAATGGTTAAGGAGCTGTTTGGAAGTGATGTGGGTGTTAGCTGAATGGTTAAGGAGCCAAGATTGAGTTGTGTAATTTATTGTGTCTCCTACTTTGTTAACATGATCAAAGAGAAAAGCTCATCATCTGAGCAAGTGAATGTTCGTCAAGCATCTGCAGAGGCTATTATAGGATCCGGTATATTAGAACAAGTGAAGCTCATTGGTCCTCTTGTCTCAAATCACCAAACTCCCTCTGTAAGTAAATTTCAAACCGCTTGTGATGTATACGCATATCAAATCCTGGAGAAGTGGTTCACTTTCACCAAACTGTTGGAGGATTAAGATGATCTCATCAGGTCAAAACTCGCCATGGATGTTCAGAAGTGTTTCTCGTTGCCATGGAAGTTCCTACACAAGTTGAGAAAGTCTTGGAACTGAGCTTTGAGCATTTATCTTTCGTCTTTGGTCACTGGAACATTTATCTTCCGTCTTTCGNAATCCTGGAGAAGTGGTTCACTTTCACCAAACTGTTGGAGGATTAAGATGATCTCATCAGGTCAAAACTCGCCATGGATGTTCAGAAGTGTTTCTCGTTGCCATGGAAGTTCCTACACAAGTTGAGAAAGTCTTGGAACTGAGCTTTGAGCATTTATCTTTCGTCTTTGGTCACTGGAACATTTATCTTCCGTCTTTCGTTTTTTAGTATCTTGACTAAGAAAGCTTCAACCTTTAATAGAAACTTTCAACTTTTAATTGATGTTGTTAGATTATTAACTTATTGCTGTGTCTCTATTGAGAATTTTGATTAAAAAAAGTTTCAACCTTTACTGTTAGATTGTTAATTTAGAAAAGTTTGATTTTTTTTCTTACGTGTTCTTGTGTCTCTGTTAAGGATCTTGACTAAAGCTGTGTATCCACAAGATCCTGATGGCTTAAGAAAAAGCGCGAATCTCTACTTCGCTGTGGGTATAGTTGTTATGGTGATCTGTGCTGTATCCTACAACTTAGCTCACAAGCTTCCTGTGATCAAGTTCCATGAAGAGCGCAAGGCTCAAGCACTGCTCAAAGAGAGTCAAGAGAACGGTTCTTTAACCGGACCAATGTGGAGGAAAACACTCTGGCAGATCGTTACTAGGATCAAGTCTCATGGCTTTGGGATTGTACTTATATACATTGTGACGCTGTCTATATTCCCTGGCTACATTACCGAGGATGTTCACTCTGATCTGCTTAAAGATTGGTTCCATGTTCTACTCATTGCAGCTTTCAATGTGTTTGACTTGGTTGGGAAGTCGTTGACTGCTGTTTACATGCTTGCGGATGAGAAAGGGTAGTTACAAAGTTGTCTACAAAAGGTACGCGAGTCTCTACTTTTGTATTTGTATCGATCAGGAGGATAATGAGTTAGAGGTCCTTGAGATCATTCATCACTACGTCGAGATTCTCGACCGCTATTTCGGAAGTGTGAGTTGATTAGCTAGCCACCTACTTGGCATAACCTCTGCTTCAACTTCTTATAATTTTTTTTTTGTGTGATCTTTTCACGTGTGTGAACTTGATTTGATTTTTAACTTCCACAAGGTAATATACACATTAACACAAACACTCTGCCATTATTCAACACTTAGTTTTTTTCATTGGTTACTTTCTTAGGCGTATTACATATTGGATGAACTTTTGATTGCGGGTGAGCTCCAAGAGTCAAGCAAGAAAACTGTAGCCAGGATTATATCTGCTCAGGTAAACAACCTTTACTTTTTTTTTTAAGACATTGACATGAAAATATTATAGTTATTTTTTATATATGGTTTGTCTTGACAAATATCAATCTCTGTCTGTTTTGTTCTTGAAGGATCAAATGGTGGAAGCTGCAAAAGAGGAGGCTGGTGAAAACCTTTTTATAATAGTCTATAAATCATTTATAAGAATTTATAAAATTATTTATAAGGGTTTATAAAATTATTTATAAGGGTTTATAAAATTATTTATAAGGATTTCTAGAAATTCTAAAGGTAATTCAATTATAAAGTCTTAAAACATTTTATAAAGGGTTATAAATTATTTCTAAGGGTTTGTAAATCATTTATAAGGATTTATAAATCATTTATAAAGGTTTATAAATCATTTAGCTTGTGATCTACAATAAGTCTTTTCTTTTTATAATAATAAAACTAAACCAAATTTGAAATTTTCTACTATTGAATTAACATTTCAAATAATTCTAACGGGAGAGATGATGTATTTCTGTTGACTGTTACAATAAATATCTTATCTTTTTTTTTTCTATCTAACTTTGGAAATTCACTTTCTATTTATAAGGGTTTATAAAACCATGTATAAGAATTTATATAACCCATTTATAAGAGTTCATAAATCCATTTACGAGATTCAACCAGCTTTATGTGTTCATTATGTGTTCGAAGAAGAGAAAATGATGCTTTCAGTGCTAAAGGCATACAGTATATAAAATCATAAATAATAGTTTTATAAATCATAAATCAATTTATAAAGATTTATAAAGTTTTAACACATAAAGGCTTATAAATCATTTTTAAGGGCAAATGATTAACAAATCTTAAAACATTTTATAAAGGTTTATAAATCATTTTTAAGGGCTTATAAATCATTTATAAGGGTTTATAAATTATTTATAAGTGCTTATAATTTCTAATAAATCTTTCTAATAAACAAAAGTCACTAAACATTTGTAATCATGAAGGGGTTGTGGACGGGGTTTTTACTTATGAAGCCAGTGCTCTTGTTTGTATTATTTGTAAGATGCAATAGGCCATCATCGAGAGTTGCCATGCCATCACGATACAGGTCTGCTTTACTGAAGTTATAGTGCACAAACTGAGTAACCTCTTGAGCTAACACCAAAGAAAACTAGTGTATAAGATATTATATTTTGATTTACAAGAGTGTATAAATTGATTCATAAGGGTTGATAAACTGATTTATATTGCTTGCAAGTGTGACATTGTCTCCAGGATAAGTTTCTGTATCTTCTTGAGTCTCTAAGAAAGCAGCTAATATCCTTGAACTGCAGAAAAAAAGACTGAACACAGATTCAGAAGATACAGCTAATATTCTAAACATGGCAAAGCCTGTATTTGGCATTGACATAATGAACATAACAAGAAGAAAAGTAGAATAATGCTTAATGATATTCACGATTATGATTGAAGAGGAATAGTTACATGATAGCAGGACACAAAGACAATTTCATAATAGAACCAAAGAAGATGACACCAAATGCTGAAGAATTGTTTAGGTAACTATTCTAAAACCAAACAGACTTTATTGTTGCTGATACTCAAGAAACTGCTCATGTGGTGGTGCCTTCTCTTCCATGACATGAACATTTTATTGTACAAAAGCCTGTAACTTGTCAATCACTAGTTGAGTTAAGAGACGTTATTGCTGCGGATATACATGGAGCTACTCCTCTTCCTCGACCTGAAGATTTCACTTTCCAGAAGCCTGCAACTTCTCAATCACAGGCTGTGTTAGGAGATGTAGTAGCAGATAAGCATGAAACTGCTCCTCTTCATACAGCAGTGCTCTCTCTTCCTCTACACAAGCCTTTCGTTTTGCAGAAGCCTGCAATTTCTCAGTTACAAGCTGAGTTAAGAGAGGGTATTGCGGATATGGAAAAAGCTACTCCTCTTCACAGAATAGTGCCTTGTGTTTATGTACCTGAACATCGTGTTTTGCAGAAACTTCTCAAAGACGAGCTGAGTTTAGAGCAGATAAGCATGGAGCTTCGCTTGTTCACACTGTGGTGCCTTCTCCTCCAGTAACTGAACACATCCCTTTGCAGAAACCTGCAACTTCACAATCACAAGCTGAGATAAGAGTGGAGACGCGCAAAGCTACTCTTGTTCACACAGTGATGCCTTCTCTGCCGGTAACTGAACCACCTATCACTTCGCAAAAGCCTGCAACTTTGCAATCACAAGCTGCTAGCACTGTGGGGCCTTTTTCACTTGAAAGATCTTGAAATGGCTGCTCGCTCTTCTTAGACTTCTCAACACACCCCGTACGAAAAGATGCACATTCTTTTGTTGACTTGACTGTATTAGTTGATTGAATAGGCTGAGCCCCCTCATGAGTTTTCTGATACAGCATGCCCCTACTATATTCTGGTGAACTATAATACCCATTATAATACCCATTTATGGTGAACTATAAAAGTTATTCGATTTCAACAAACTCGAGAAAAAAATAAACCCACCAAATCTAGAAAAACTCCAAACTCACCAAATAAACTCGAGAAGCATAAGGCTTCGCTTCGCTGGCTCTGGATTCTAGGGGAAGAGGAGAGCATGAGGGATACGATTAGCGTCTTGATCTGCTCCTTCTCGGGAGGTGTGATCGGAGAGATGGAGGAGGAGGAGGAGGAGTCGGCGGGAGGGAGCCACCGTGAACGGAGGTGGTTTTTGAAGTTGACGGCGGCTGCGTGACGAGTTAGTTTTAGGTTTAATTAGTTAAGGGTATATAAGTACTTTGCAATTTAAAATTTTAAAGGTAAAGTTGGTTAATGTATAAAGGAAATGTGGTATCATGAAAGTGTTATATTTGGCAATTTCCCATATAGGTTCTAGAAAAAAAAATTTAGACCCCAAATTAGTTAAAAGAAAATTTTAGCTGAATTTTTTAAAAATCGCATAGAATCCTAAAATCTCAAGACCGGCTCTGAATTTAGTGAAATTTCAAATTTGAAGTTTCAAATTTGAAGTTTCATATTCTTATTTGCATTTTGGTACTTACAAGTACAAATTCTATTTATGATTCTTAAATATTTTGTTGTTTATCGTTTTAGTCCTTAAAATTTTTTTTTTCGCATAAATATTTCAAAATTAATTTTGCAAATTTAAGCTTTACACATACAATTATTTTAATATATACTAAGATAAGATTTAAAATATTTTAAAACTAGAATTAGACAACAAAATATTACAAAACTTAAAATGGTATTTTGTTTATAGTTTAATATTTAATTATATATTTATGTTTATTATTTTATATATTTATTGTAATATTTATTAATTACTATTACTGTAGTATTTTTATATATGTTTTAGTTATATATAAAAAGTTGTATGAATTTGAATTAGTTATGATATATAAAAGGACCATAATATAAAGTATAAATAATTTTAAAATTAAGTTGGAAGTATTGCTTTTGAAAAAAATATCTTTAGACTTCAAATATAAAATTTTGCAAACTTTAAAATAGGATTTTTTGGAGATGTTTGAGAGTTACCTTTATTTTCAAGATTCCATAATTTTCTTAACAGACTTTATTTTTTTTTTCTGTTATATATTTTTCTACAGTAACTATAAGTTGATAACTTTGAATAATGGTAGGTAGAAATAAAAAATTATGTTGATAATAGAAGATTAACTATGAAAGTATTTGAACAGAAATTCAGAATTTTGTTTTTAAATATGGGTCAATGTATGATGTGTGTAACCAACTATAAGTAAGAAAGAACACTTATTTATTTAGTCATCTCTTAAATGCAAAACTCCATTAGAAAAAGTAAGTTTTTTGTTTTTCTATTAATGATACATCTGATCTGACCAAAGGGAAAATGAATAGAGATACTTATCATATGAAGGATTCGATTAGTTTTCTGATTCAAGTCGACAAAAAAAAATTAAAAAAGATTAGTTTTCTGATTATGATTAATTAAGATTCTATGTGTTAAAAGCGCGTGTTTTAGACGAATCAAGAATGTCTTTCGCATGTCCAGCTTCGAATTCCAAACAGGAAAACAAGATAGAGCATTTGATTATTTTAATATCTAGTTCGTATCTTATAATATTACATTTTTACTGTTTTTCAGCATCTTATGAGTTTTTTTAACATTACTATAATTGCACCAACTACTGATAAATATAAATGAAAATATTTATCACCGAATAAATAAGTAAAAATCTTTATTACCAAAAGTATATATTTAAAGTTTCTCTTTTTTTTTGGCAAAAACTTTTAATTCACCTTCTGCTCCAACACACACATATAGGTCTCCAAAATCTCTCCTCTCCGCCCCCTTTTAGATCCATTCCTCTCTCAAGGCGGCCCCTGTAAAACCCTTTTGATTTCTTTCTCTCTCCGTGTTTATGAAACTTCCTGCAAATTTTATCAGCTTTTACATTTGCTTTTGGTGTTTTAGTCCTCTCTCTCTTTCTCCAATCTCTTGAGTAGGAAAGGTACTTCTTTTACGCAGACACTAGTTCATGATTCTTGAGAATCTTTAGACCCTTTTATTCTCTACTCGAATCACTACTCTTCTTGATCTGGGGCACATTTTGTAAATTAAGGGGGAAAAATCATTTTTTTCTCTTTCTTTCTGGGTAACTCTAGGGTTCTTTTCATGTGGGCCACTTAATTAGCTTTGAATTGATGAGTCTTAATTGCTTCTAATATAGCAATTGTTGAGTGAGATTAAGCAATGGGTTGTGTTTGGTGTAAGCCTTCTTCTTCTGCTATAGAAGACAGTAAAGATAGTCCAAGAGAGCGTTTCTCAAACAAGTCTTCTTCTGAGCATAGAGTACTTTCAAGACCTGTTGCTTCTTCTAGAAGAGAAGAGCCCCTTAGGACAAAGGAACGCCCTGATGTTGTTAGTGTAAGACCAAAGCAAGCTAGTGTTTCGCGTGGGGAGAGTTTGAGTAGTAGAAGGGAGAAGAAGACAGAGAATGTTAACTTCCCAATGGGTATTACCATAGCTAAAGGAGTTGAAGCAGAGTATGTAGCTGCAGGCTGGCCTCCATGGTTGGCTTCTGTTGCTGGAGAAGCTATCAAAGGATGGATTCCGCGGCGTGCTGATTCTTTCGAGAAGCTGGACAAAGTAATCTACACTGATCCTGATTCAACATACTTCTATTGACATATCTTAAGCTCCCAAGATTCTGGTTGAAGTAAAACTGATTTATATTATGGAAGCTAGATTCTGATGCTGTGTGTTTTGCAGATTGGGCAGGGCACTTACAGTAATGTGTATAGAGCTCGAGACCTGGATCAGAAGAAGATTGTGGCGTTGAAGAAAGTTAGGTTTGATAACTTGGAGCCGGAAAGCGTGCGTTTTATGGCAAGAGAGATCCAGATATTGCGCCGCCTTGATCACCCTAACATCATAAAGCTAGAAGGCTTAGTCACATCAAGAATGTCTTGCAGCTTATATCTTGTTTTCGAGTACATGGAACATGATCTAGCTGGACTAGCCTCGCACCCCGCAGTTAAATTTTCTGAATCACAGGTACCTTTTTTGTTTGTTTTCAACTCCTTCATGACTGTCATGGGTGCAAATGCAATTCTCTGAGTCTTGGCTTTTCTTTGTTCTTGTACAGGTTAAATGCTACTTGCAGCAACTGTTACGCGGACTAGACCATTGTCACAGTCGTGGTGTACTTCATCGAGACATCAAAGGCTCAAACCTTCTAATAGATAATAGTGGAGTTCTAAAGATTGCTGATTTTGGCTTAGCTAGCTTCTTTGATCCTCGTCAAACTCAGCCTTTGACTAGCCGTGTGGTAACTCTTTGGTACCGTCCACCTGAGCTTTTGCTCGGAGCAACTCGCTACGGAGCAGCAGTTGATTTGTGGAGCACAGGTTGCATTCTTGCTGAACTATATGCAGGCAAGCCTATTATGCCTGGTAGAACCGAGGTAGATTGTTGTGAATCTCTTTTAAGTGTTTGCTCTGAGTTCGTTGAGACTAGTTCTTTAATGCTTATGGTGGTGTTTACAGGTGGAACAGCTGCACAAGATTTTCAAGCTATGTGGCTCGCCTTCAGAGGACTATTGGGTAAAATCGAGGCTGCCTCATGCAACGATTTTCAAGCCTACACAGCCGTATAAACGCTTAGTGGATGAAACATTCAAGGAGTTCCCTCAGCCAGCTTTAGCCCTTCTTGAAACTCTGCTTTCAGTCAATCCCGACGATCGTGGAACTGCCAACTCAGCTCTTCACAGTGAGGTAATCACAGTTCTGAGACAGTTAATTACTCTCTGTTCTTGTGCTTCTATGCATAACTCCTTGTCACTTCAAATTATCATTCTTTGGTTCTCAGTTCTTTTCTACTAGACCTCTGCCATGTGATCCTTCAAGCTTGCCTAAATATCCTCCAAGCAAAGAGCTCGATGCGAGGATGCGGGATGAAGAAACTAGAAGGTCTGACATTACTTTTACTTTGCGAACTGTGCTAGATCTCATAGTGCTGTTGGAAAAACTTGACTCTTTCTTAATGTGTGTGTGTGTGTAGACAAGCTGGAGGAAACAAGGGTGACCAAAGACACCAAGAAAGGAGAGGAGCTAAGGAATCTCGAGCCATCCCTGCTCCTGATGCAAACGCAGAGCTGGTTGCATCAATGCAGGTATAATACTTATCATCTCTTTTGATGTTAAAGCTTCTTGCTTATAATCTCTCTCTCTCCCTCTCCCTCTCCCTCTCCCTCTCCCTTTACTTACAGAAGAGGCAGAGCCAGGCTAATAATAGAAGCCGAAGCGAGAAGTTTAATCCACATCCTGAAGAAGTTGCATCTGGTTTCCCAATCGATCCACCAAGATCATCATCACAAGCATTTGAACCAAACAGAGAATCTCAGGGAAACATTATTCCTCCTCACAAAAGAGCTTCACATTCAGGTCCTCTAACGCGTAGATCTGCTTCCGCAAAGGGAAGAAGGAACTACCAAGATCCTCAGAAAGTTTCATCCATAGCTGCTGATTACTCGGCAATGCCTGGTTTTGCTGCAACAAGAACAGGAGCATCACAACAAGAGACTTTTAGAGGAATGTCTCGGCTTCCAGGTTCCTTCAAGGAAACCTCCGAAGAAGCAAGCCAAGAAGAGAATGGTAGAAGCAACAAGAAAGACTCAATTCTTGTAAGTCCTCCAAAAGGCCATCCTTACTATTTTTAGTAACTAGCAAACCAACTTTTCTTGTGTTTTGTGGTTGCAGTTGGGTTATGGATCAAAAGGGCACAAGATTCATTACTCGGGACCTTTGGTGGTTCCATCAGGAAACATGGATCAGGTGCTAAAAGACCATGACCGCCATATCCAAGAAGCTGTGAGAAGAGCAAGAATCGATAAGGCTCGAGTTAGAAAACATCAAGCTGAAGAAGCATCGAGCCAACAAGTCTCAGAGGCAAAAGTATATGATCAAACTCAAAAGTATCCATCATCTGTTTCTAGCCGTTGACCATCTAAGATGCAAAAGTATATGATCAAACCCCAAAAAAAAATTGCTTGAAACATTTTAACACGTCGTATTTTGAGTGAAAATAATGTAATTTTTATTGATTCGAGATTATATATCATAGAATCAAGTCTTGTCACGTTTTAGTCCCTGTAATGTCGTGTTACCTTATTATAAGCGAGGTGTAGAACCAGGATATATATAAATTATAACCTAGAAGAACAAAATCTATAAAATAATACAGTATTACTTATTAATTGATTTTTTTCCTGTTATACTGATCGTTTCATTTTATGCTAGAAAATTAAATACACGTCTATCTTGGTCCTATTGCTAGGGGTGAGACGGATCGGATATCCGGGGTATTTTGGGATATTCGGATCCGGATCCGGATTCGGCAGATCCATAAAATTGATATCCGAATCTGGATTCGGGCCTTCCGAATCTCCGGGATTGGGATATCCGGACTAAAACTCGAATACCCGCGGATATCACGATCCGTTTTTTAAAAAAAAAAATTAAAAAAATCAAAATTAAATTTAAAATTTTAAAATTAAACATATATTTATTCAATTAAAATTTTATTTTTTTGCAAAAAATTTTAAAAAGCTAATAAAAAATTAATAAAACTAAGTTTTAGTTATTTAATAAAAATTATATATAATATATCTATATAAATTTAATTATATTTCAAATATTTTAAAAATATTTAGTGGGCCCGGATCCAGATATCCGGCCGAAAATTTTCACTATCCGGATCCGCAAAATCACTATCCGGATCCGGATCCGAACCCCCGGATATTCGTTTTTCGGAGCAGATCGGGACGGATCCCGGATCGGATAGCGGATAGCGGATATTAAATCCCAGCCCTACCTATTGCCGACACGCCTCTTCTTGTAGCTTCTTCTAGCGTACATCTTGACTAGGTGTCTTTATGTTTGGGTTATGGCCATGTGGCATAAAATATTTGTTTGTTGATACTTAAGTAACCCAAGTTACTGCAATAACAACAACTCGAATATAGTATTGACCACCACCATCACTCGAGTCTAATGAATAATCCTCGACTGATTTGTATTATCAATCCTGAATTTTGTGTCACCTAATTAATAGTATGGTTAATATATCACTAATATACCTATAAATAGAAGACTAACTGAACATGTAGGTACTTCTAAGTATGCATAGTATTATCTAATTAGGACTGGAATTATTATCCGAGATCCGGATCCGATCCGAGATCCGATCCGGATCCGCTCCGAAAATAGGATATCCGGGGTGTCCCGGATCCGAATCCGGATAGTAAAATGTCGGATCCGTCGAATCCGGATCCGAATCCGGATATCTGGATTTTTAGGTCCGGATATCCGGATCCGGATCCGGATCCGTTATTTTTTTAATATATTAAATTTAAAATATTATTAATAATTATAGTTCATTTATTAATATTTATACATAAAATTAGTCTTATAGTATTATATTTTAATTTTAATAATATTATATACATAAATATATTTATAAATTTTGTAAATATATTTAAGTTATGTAATATTTATGGAGTTTTTGGCATTTTAAAAAATATTTTAATTTTTTTATAGTTATTTTGGCGGATCCGGATCCGAATCCGGATACCCGCGGATATCATGATATCTAGACGGGTATCCGGAACCCGGACATCCGGAAGACACGGATCCGGATCCGGATCCTTAAATCACGGATCCGACGGATCCGGATCCGGATACCCCGAATATCCCGGATATCCGGATCCGTCCCACCCCTATATCTAATTGATGTTTTATTTTAATAAGTCATCATCATAATATACATATTTCAGTTTGTCCTGATTCACGACAACAAAATCGTTATTGGTCAAAATGAACAACAATGTCATATACTACTTTACATTAAATTACATTTTTTTCTTTCTAAACTTAAATTTTCTTTAAACTACATTTCACTCTATAAGAAAACAATGTTAAGACCTGAAAATGTTATATACATAGGAGCATGATTAATCCAAGACGACGACGACAGATCCGGAGGATTCAACGACGAAGACAGATCCACAGGATTCAATGGCTTCCAAGGAGAAATCAACCGATTCGAATCAGACTTGAGGCTATACTGATTCAATGCGGGAGACTAAGCCGTAGCAACTCTGTAAGACCTGATCCAGCCGACTAGGCCACGGTTGATGCCTCACGTCGCTCGGTCAGCCGACTCGGCCACGGTTGATGCCTCACGTCGCTCGGTCCATACCCTGACCGAACCTCTAAAAATTTTGCCCTTTATTTAAAACATCGCCCATAGGCGAGGGCTAACTCAGATCCTAGCTCAAGACTACCTTAGTCATTCCCTAGCTTAGATCCTTTCAACTTATGCACAGCGGAATAATATCAAATTAACCATTGGTCTAAAACCAATCTAACACT